CACTTGCCTCATGAAACAACTATGTCTGCCTCCCTTCAAAGCCTGGGAGTAGTTTGAAGGTCTTTGGTCTCCAGGTGAAGGTCAGGGACTGGCACATGTTAGGTAGTCAATTCTGTGTGAATAAATGAATGAATATAGTTGAAAAGCTAGGACATACAGACACGTGCTATGTGCTAGGTGCTGGATAAAGAGACAGAAGACATGGTCTCTGGGAACTGAGGATCTGGTCACAGAGGTAGGAAATGTAGAGAGAGGTGGAACAGTCCAAGCTAGCACTGATTAGTTAAGGGCAAAAGGCATGAGCTGCCAGGGTTACAGGGGAACTGTTATAGACAAGGGTATGGAGCAGACTCTTGAAAGCAGAGCCAGACTGCTGAAGGAAGGGCAGCTTAAAGCCAGATACAAGAAGGCAGGAGGACAAAGAGGGCATGATGAGCAAAGCCCTCCGAGGAGCTGAAAAGCATTCCAGTTTAGTGTACTATAGCATAGACATTAAGAAACTGGGTCTGACGTATCCAGACAAAACTGGATTCAAATCCCGACTCCTTTACTACATGTTCTTTGGGCAAATCACTTAATATTCCTAAGCATTAACACAATATATAAAGCCCTGAGCATGGAGCTTACATATAAAAGTGTTATTATTATTGTTATTGTTATGATTCTCATTCCTCAAGACATGGCTAGGGCATATTTAGAAGGCTTCATCCTAACTGTGATGGAGATGGGGTTTGTAGGTGCGAGTGTAGATGGAGGATCACTGTAAAATTCTAAGGTCTCTTTCTCCTCTAGATTTTATTGCAAATGATAATAGATCAGCTGTAGAGTGCTGTTAACTAGCTTGCACCACCTCCCTATGATATCAGCTTTCTGAGGGTAAGGATCCCAGCTAATGTAGCTTTCAAGGTATCTATGGGATGGCTATCTAGTGTTCAAGTCTGTGCCATTAGTCCAGTTGGTTAAAGCAAGGTCTCTGCCAATTATCTTCCTCGTGTAACTTCCTATTTGCCAATATAGTCACTAGTGGACAAATGAATTCTTACTCTTGAATTATTTTAGGTTTATCTGTTTCCTCTCCCAGTTGTGCTGTGATCTCTTTATAGGAAGAGAGCAGTTATTATACATTATTTATGGCCTCCATAGTATCTTAGCAAAGCTCAATCGCCTTCTCTTGGTTACCACTGTCTATTCATTGCCAGGGGTTTGACCCTTGATCCTATGATACTTGACTCCATGACACTAAGATCCTATGACACTACATAATTCCCTGAGAGTATGATGTTTGATATACTGCTGATATATTATCTAATAGAGAAATTTAATCAGGCAAGCTAGTGAGGCTACCTTGTGAAATAACTGAAAAATTATTTTGAGAAATCTAATTTTAAAATTGGTTGGAAAAATCCCCCATGAGGTCTAAATTGTCCCTACCACTGTTCTAGAAATTTAGAATAAATTCTTAGATACCCCTCCAATAGAACTGTTTACCCTGTAAATTTAGGTCATTATTGATATAAAAAATATTGAATTTATTCATTTAAATATATTGAATATGTAGCTTATAATGATAAAGCAGACGTTTGTTTTGCATTTTAAGCAGCATCATGTGTAAGGAGCCAGCATACTGACTGGAGGCCTTCTCAGGATTTTCAAATTTCACTCCTTGTGATGCATTGTGCTTTACACAGGAAACAAAAGCCTTTGCACCTTTATGATGGTTGGATGACTCATGACCCTGATTTTCCATTCCTCTTCTCCCAAATTTGCTGTGAGCATTCATACTCTGCCATTATCTGTGAATGACCCATGCTTTACAAAGTCACGCTATCAGTAGATCACCTGTAAGAGGACAGAGAATTATTTTTTTTAATGATTATCAGGATTAAAACAACTTACTAGCTGAGTCACCTGGGAAAATTATTTATCACTATTGAACCTCTTCTTCCTGTCTGTAACTGGGGGTAATATTTCCTATCTTTCAGGGCTGCTGTGATGAGAAATGATAATACATTATTATCACAATGTGTTTGACACTTAGTAGGTACTTAATAAATTCAAGCCAGTATAAATGCCACATAGGTTACACTTACAATTTGCAAAGGGTCTGCTTTTCTGTACTCTGTTGATTCTGTTCCTCACTGTGAATGCTGCCCTTCCTGTGGTCCCCGTGAGCAGTTCTCTCAAGTATTCAGTAAGTTATTATATGAGTTCTTAGTTCTACTTTTTATATATTACCATCCAATAATGCTCACAAGGGCAAACTCGTCATCACCTTCCCACATTAACTTTCACATTATAAAAAATAAAATAAAAATGAGTTTGGGGGGCTGGCCCTTGGGCTGAAATGAGAGAACCATGAAAAGAATCCTAGTACTCTCTTTAAAAAATATATTATTCTCATATATTTAAAACAAAAAACAAAGGAGTTTGGTTCTAGGTAGCTGAACTCTATACCCAAACATCCTTGGAAAATGCCATCACTTTGATCTAATCAAATTTGAAAGCTCCAAAGCTATTTGAGCTGCTTTCAAACAAAAAAATAGCTCAGAGAATGAACGAATCAGGATTTAGTCATCTCAAAGTAATTATTCCATATTTCATAATTTAGAAAAATATAAATCATAATTTATAGCCAACAATTTACTCTTGAGTTCACTTAGTGGCAGAAAATCAAACTCTTTCATTTTCCCAACATATTAGAATTGTTTGAAAGAGAGCATCGAAATAACAGAATTCTTCCTAGTTACTTAAATGTCAGTAGCTGGAAGAAAATGTTTGCCTATACCATCTTTGGGTGTGAAGGATCTTATCTAACAGGTGAGGTCTGTGTTGAAAATGCATAGGCAGTAAGTACTTTTTTAACACTATGCAATAGAGAATTTTCAAGGCTACTGAGCAGTGGCTCTACATTCTGTTCTCTAGGGCACATGTCCTGGCACCTACTTCTTAATACCCTGCTGACCAGAGTCTGCCACTGGGAACTGGCTTGGCACGTACTGAGCTGTCACCAAGTGTCCACCGTTCCCCCAAACCACCATTGCCAAAGTCAGTCTACCCTCCTCATCTACTTCCCTGGGGTACTTGTCACTGCTACCTACTTCCAGCTTTTAAATACCCTCTTTTCTGCCCGACCAGTGTGGCCCAGTAACCGAGCGTCGACCCATGCACCAAGAGGTCACCGGTTTAAATCCATGCCCAGATTGTGGGCCAAATCCCCAATGGGGGGCATGCAGGAGGCAGCCAATTGATGTTCTCTCTCATTGATGTTTCTGTTTCTCCCTTTCCCTTCTTCTCTAAAATTAATACAAAAAAAAATTTTTTTTTAATCCTCTTTTCTTAGCCCATAACAACACATCTCTGAACCTCATTTGCCATTTTCTGACCACTCTTTTATCTTATTCTTTGGCTCCTTCTCCATGCCCACTGTTAAAAATGACCATTCTTTGACTCTCTTATCTTTGCCAGAAAGAAGCTTTACCCTGAGCTCTCCTGTCACTGTGTGGCATCAGACAACTGACAACCCTCTCTGGGCCTCATTTGTCCCTGAGAAAGGGAAGGAGGTGGACAATGATCCAAAGTGTCCCTTTGAGCTCTGAAGGGTTATGCTGGTCTATCCTAATCTCTATCAGTACGTGTAGTTTCAGAGAGCCAGTGCAAGTCTGTGATGGAGCTAAGGCCAACAGGAAATCATCACTTCCAGTGTGGGAAGGAACCTTAAACATCACCTCATCTGAAACTCTCATTTCATAACTGAGAAAACCTAGGCCCAGAGTGAGTACTCTATTACCTCATAGCAGGTGATAGACAGAAGTTACTCTCCTGGACTCTCACGTGTTGCAAAATCAGAGCTCACATGTCTTTCAAACCTGGTTGAAGTGCATAACTGTATCAAAATAAAATGTGATATAGAAAGTATAAAACTGAGTCCCTTTTCCCCTTTAAAGAAATAAACACTATACTGTAACTCCAAGAATTCTGGAGAGATATTTGCTATAGCAGGTGCTTTACACAAAGTAGAACAATCTGATCACATAAAACATCTTAGATTTATGTTTTTAAATAGCCAAATAAAACGGACGAGTCACACAATACATATACTTACATTAATTCAAATGTCCAAAGCACAGTACAGTAGGATCTATGTAATAGTTCATATAATTTAAGATTTACATACACACAAGCATATAAACAAATATTAGTCTACTAGAACAAAAGTTTAAGAACTTACTCAGACATTTTAGTATTGACACCTACATATCTGTGGCAACATATAATGATGACTTTAAACTTCCAATAAGATCTTTTTTACCAGGATAGGAAATTTACAGAATGGAAAGAAGACAGGCAAACAAATGTACCTGTATTGTACTACTTATCTAACATCATATGCGATGTAGCAGTACCCAGTATATTTTATCAGTGAAGTCTGTTTACTCTGGTCTAAAATGATGAATTTAGCTGAATTATTCCCAAATCTAACTTTATTTTGTGCTGTATAAATAATGGCTGTTTGGCTCTTTCAAATGAAATAGGACACTAACACTTTTCTTCAAGATAATTAAACTTTGGTCCTCTTTTTAAAGAACACTAATACATAGTTTATTTTTTCTTTCAAAATTCCTGAATTAAAGGACAATGTCAGTCAAATCACCTCCAGGCCAGCTTTGAAACAATCAGTGGTGCTAAGACTAAGCTTTTGTTATCTAGAACCGAAACTTTGGAAAACAGCCCCATCTTTCTCTGGCACACGGAGGAACCAAAGTGCTTTACCATATCAACCACTTAAAAATACCATTTGGTTACCCTGGCCGGTTTGGCTCGGCAGTTAGAGCGCCGGCATGCGGTCCAGAGAGACCCAGGTTCAGTTCCCGCTAAGGGCACGTACCTTGGTTGCAGCTTGTCCCCGGCCCTGCTTAGTCGTGCGGGTGGCAGCCACTTGATGTGTCCCTTTCAAGTCGATGTTTCTCTCTTTCTTCCTCTCTCCCCCCCACTCTATCTGAACAAAAAACGGAAAAATGTCCTCGGGTGAGGATAAAATAAAATAACCATTTGGTTATATTTCAAAGACCAAAATTATTTCAGTCCTGCTGTTTATTTTGCAGACCACACACAAAGTTAAAGATGGAGAGATCAAATTACCACATCATATAAATACAGGCACAAAATTAACTGGACGCCACAAAGGGTGTATCTGAAAACACTGAATTAACTGAATCTGAGTCGGATTTCACCCTGGTGGACTTTAAGATGCCCTCGGCTATGACCGGTTCACTGGGAAAGAGCCTGACTTTCCCATTCTGCCCTGCTGCAGTGTCTTTCAGGGGTTCCAAAAACACCACTCTTTTACCAGCACCTGCCTTCCGTTCATCAGCTGGGACATCACTAGCCAGGTCAGGACTGAGAACAGATGAATGGGCATTGCTTTGGTTTAGCATACTTTTTTGTCTCTTGGCTTTACACCTGCAGGGACATGGCGTCAGATAGAGGTACAAAAGTACCAAAATGATACTGGCTACACAAGCTGCAAGGGTGGTAAAAGCTGTGTTAAATGCCTCATGGGCATGGGATCTGTTTACCGTGAAATTGCTCACGTTTATTGTGACATCCACAGTTTCATTTAACAGGCGTTGCCTGTTCATTGCAATGCAAGAATACACTCCCGCGTCCTCAAAACGAGGACTTTCTATAACCAGGCTTCCATTGCGAAACACGTGGAAGTTTTTCACCTCTCTGTCTGGCTCTAGGAGTATGTTATCTGGTGCCACCCACATGAAATCAGTATTTGAACTACCAGTCTTGCTGTCACAGTGAACAATCAGCCTTTCCCCGACGTGAGCCTCATGAATAAAGCCAAGTGCATGGAAGGAGCCATTGATGACACTGTCAGAGCAATTCATAAAGCTATCCTGGAGCAGCAGTACCTGATGGGAGTGCCTAGAGTCAGACCGCAGGCGACAGGTATAATCATTCTTAAAATCCATCACTGAGCTAAAGTGCCTACGATACCAAAAGATCAGCAATGAGTAAAGGGAACAGTCGCAGACAAATGGATTTCCATGAAGGTGGATGCCTCTCAGCTGCTTTCCTGGCACTAAATTTATATGGTGTGTTGGCAGGAAGGGGATCCGGTTATAAGAAACATCTAGAAACATCAGTTCGGTCAGCTTGAACCTTCCGATGTACAAATCCATGGGAAACTGTGTGAGAAAGTTTCCACTTAAGTAGAGTTTCTGCAGTTGGAAGAGCCCTCCAAATGCTGACGGATCGAGATGGGAAATGTGATTGTTGTACAGCAGGAGCACTTCCAGGACCTTCAATTCTTGGAACACTGCACTTTTCACGGTCTTCAGCTTATTGGAGGATAAGTCAAGACACTTCAAATTTGGAGTTGTGGAAAAACTGCCCATGGAAATGCTGGTGATGTTGTTATGACGAATAATTAGGGTGTTCAGCTTGCCAAACGATACGGGAATCCACTCAGAATCCAGAAGGCCAATTCTATTGTAACTCAGATCCAGTCTCTTAATCAGCCTGAAAAGGTTCCCAGGCACCTTGGTCAGGTTTTTGTTGGTGCAGCTCACGATGTCAGTGGCACAGATGCAAGCGGTGGGGCACACCCCGGAGGCGCCAGGGCTCACCGCCACCGTGACCACTAACAAACACAGCAGTTCCCTGCGGCCCGGTCTGACAACTCCAGGCGGGGCGGGCAGTGTGTGTGAACGCAAAGACATTATGGTCGCCCTCAGTCTCTTCCAGGCGTCTTTGCCACAAGCTCGGCCTCCCACCAGTGAATCTGGTAAACAACATTGGAAGATGCGTTAAAAAAAAAAAAATCAAGTTACCAACAATTAAACCGTAACAGTTACACCTTGCTTTCTTTCTAGTAACTTTGGAAATGGAGGTTTCATTTCACACTGGGGAGACTACGTTGCCTTTTTACCGTTAAATGCAATTTTTTCCTGGGTTACTCTTGCTTTTGGACATTTACAGCCGCAATCAATACAACCGTCTCAATGTCAGAAATTCAATAGTGTTTTAAGGTACATCCTGCTTTGTGTTTTTAACTCCCTCCAACAGACTCAAAAATACACAAACGCATGCTATAAACAATTAAACGGAAATGCTTAGCGAGCCACCCACCCAGAATACAACTCACAGAGCTGAGAAGCCTCCAGACTCGGGATGGATGGGCTGCCTACAGTGGTGTCTTCCGAAGGTCTGTGCGTCTGTCTGTCCGTCCGTCACTCTCGCATCTTCCGAGTTCCTTTCCCTCTTGCTCCCGGCGGGCGGCAGCCTCTGGCTGGCTCTCAACTTTGGGAGTTTTAAGGAGCAGCGGCGGCAGCAGCAACCCCGGGCGCAGGAAACCTCTCCGCCGGCTCCGGTGAGTTCTCCCAGGCTCTCGTCATCGCTCGGCTGAAGGTACCGTCTTTGTGCTCCGACCGCCTTGTGTCCGCGCGCCTGGAGCCCAGCTCCCGAGCCCGGTCCGAGGGGCGGGGGCGCGGGCAGCCGGAGGGACCCGGCCCCCCTCTCCGCTCTCGGGAGGCTCCCCGACCTGGGGTTCCCGCGCGCAGCCGCCCGGGTTTTATCCCCGCGCGCTCGGGGTCGGATGCGGGGCTGGAAGACGGGTCCCGCCCCTGCGCACCCTCCCTCCTGCGGGAACCAGCTCGGAGGCCGAGGGTCGAGCAGGCTGGGCTCGTGGCGGGGGGCACGCGGCGCGGGAAGGGACCTCAGCGCAGCCAATCGGAGCAGCGGCCGCCGCCCACTCCGCGGTCCCGCCGCTGCCCGCCTTCCTCCCCGCCCCCCCCCCTTCCCCGACGCGGGAGAGCTGGCGAGCGGGCGCGGGGGGAGGGGGGGGGGCGCAAGGTCTACAAGGAGGCCGGGGCTGGCGTTTTTCTGTCGAATTCGCGCTCACCCACTCCCACCAATTGCGTCCGTTTGTCCAATCCAGAATCAGGTGGTGGTGGGGTGGTGGGAGATTAGGGGGACACGCTCAGTCCGAGAGGGAAAGGTTGCACCCTTGAAGACCCCACTTGGTCGCGGCACGTCGAGTTCTGTGCGCTCCCCGACCTCTTGCGTCTTTCTTTGGGCGAGGGCCAAGCGGGCTTCCACGCCGCTAAGAACAGTTGGTTTTAAAGGTTTGCAAAATAAACACTGAAGCAGCCTTCCGCCTTCACCCACGTTTGGGGAGGGATGGGGCAGGGAATCGGGCTTGTTCCCTCTAGTGCGACAGGGATCTCTACTCGAGGAACCGGGAAGGCTCAGCGGGGACACTACGAACCTCCCCGGAAAAGTTCTATCCCTTTTCTAACTCGGGAAATGGCATCAGGGATGGTGCCCAATTCTCGAAGGAGGAGCGCCGGAAAAAAGGCTTGGAGCCGACCTTCCGGCTGAAATGCAAAGATAAGGGTATTAAGCTGTAAAATATATCCGCTCCCTCCGGACAGGGGCTGATCCCAGGCTTGGCGGCTCAGAGATTCTTCATCCCTTCCTGAGACGCTGGGGGACAGGGGCGCCCAACTCAAGCGTGCTTTGGTCCAGGGGCAAGGAAAGCTGCAAGTCCGGGTAGACAAAAACAAACAAACAAAAAAACGGGGTGGGGTGGGCCAATATGAGATGAAGGGCATAGGGCTGATGAGCTTTCAAATTAAATATCCATTTTTGTTTATTCCGAGATCCGTTTTAAGGATGGACTTTGACTAAACCAAATGGCCCATTTATCTATTTTATCCGGATTAAAAGAAATAAATTACTGCCCAAACAAGAGATACTCACCAAAGCAAAAGAGACAGAAAGACTGAAAAGAGGGCCAACTTAGAAAACAATTGGGTATAAGGTAATATTACTTAAAGAATAAAAATGACAAGGACAACCAACTTTCCTCCCCACACAGTTGAGCAACCTGAATTGAATGAGAGTTGGCCCCTACTTTGTCCATGAATGGATTCACGTGGTAGTACAGATCTCCAATGCCATATTTTAAAGAGAATTGTGTGCATTGTTAATTGAGCCTGTTTGTTTAATAAATCTGGCCTAGCTCTGGTAAATCACGATTTTTCAGGTGAGAACAGCTTCATTCAGGCGAGTTTCAGTTTCTTGAAAAGTTGAATTTTACCCTAAAAAGATTACAGCCTGAAATGCTTCATGAAAGCCTTCCTCACTGGGAGCTCCCAGGGGAGAGGCAGAGGTTTGAGATTTTTCTAAAGTCAGGAAACATCCTGGGATTCTCAAAGAGCTTGGTCTTTAAACCTTCATTTTTACAGTTAGAATGGTTAACACAGAAAAATAGGATTAAGGTTACTCAGAGGAATATGACTAGTAAATAACCAGGTTTTCACAGTGTTTTACTAAATAACTATCATCCTATTCAAAGGAAACCATAAATGTGGAAGAAAGATCTGTATTTAATACAAAAATAGTGTAAAAAGAATAAATGGCTTTCAAAATGGAAACAGAAGGTTATGTTGTTATAGCTACAGGCACACCACAGAAACATATGCAAAGATACACAGCAGAAATAAACTAAATGCACTCAAAATCCACAGGCAGGTTTATTTCTCTATTTGAATACCTGATTTGGGGGATTCTGCACATTTGTCAAGGGGAAAGGAGTTGTGAAAAGGGTGAGTTCACTTAGTTTGGAAAAGAGAAAGCTAAGAGTGAACCTTAATAGTGGTATAAGGTGTGGCCTTATTTTGTGGAGAATAACTTTTTATCTTTCTAGCATCTCCTCACCTTCTTCTACCTGGGCCACTCTTTCAACTAGAAAGTAAATTCCACAAGGACAGAAATTTTGTCTTAGTCACTGCTCTTTTCTTACCTTCTAGAACCCGGCTTGACACTTGGTTGGCATTCAAAGTGTTTGATGAATGAACTCATAAATGGGGAACCTATTCTAGGCTTACCCTACTGGGTCTGCTGGTCGCCATCCTGCTCTCTGTACTTCAAAAGCGAGTGTGAAAGATGAAGGGGAAGAGGAAAAGAGGAGCCTGCAAACATTTGGGTCCTGGATCCAGTAGTGCCTGAAGGCCAAAGCACATCATTCTTCCTTTTTTATTTTAGTGTATGTTTTTATTGATTTTTTAAAGAGAGAGGGAGGGGAGATAGAAACATCAATGTGAGAAAGAAACATCAGTTGGCTGCCTCCTACTGGGGATGGAGCCCACAGCCCGGGCATGTGCCCTGACTGGGAATCAAACCGGGACCTCTCAGTCCATGGGACGACACTCAGTCCACTGAGCCACATTGAAAATGGAATGAGACTAACTTAGTTTGGGGCTTCACTTGAATATTTAGATTAAACAGAAGAAAGACATTTCTGACAGGGTGGTTCCAGCCTGGAATGGATTGCCAAGACAGTTGAGTTGCCTTCTCAGGAGTTTAAAATAGGACAAATAGGTATTCCTTTGGTCTTTCCCACATAGCACAATCTGTTGGTATTTTTGATTATTCAATAATGACTCCAACAGACAGTAGAAAGTAGATTGACATTTGACATGATTGTGAATCTAGTGTGCTGAAATGGATATGGTCACAAGAGTGTCTGGCTGAGTTTGGAAGTAACTGCTACCTTGGAGTAGGGATCTGAGTAGAGGAAATCTCTGGAGTTCTTCTGGCCCTGTGATTGCAAAATTTCTCAGGTTGCAATGAAGAAGTTGAGAAGTTAGGCTGATGTACCCTGCCCAGTGCGTGAGGTGTCGGGATCAGGACAGAGGACCAAGCACGTGGACTGGAAATTGGAAGAGAGTGCTCAGAAAACAGCATCACACATGCTGCAGGAGCAGGAAGTCATCCTAGAGGACACAGGCGAAGATGGCATCTCTGAAAGCTTCCAGCTTCTACAGATTGACGTGGAATGTGAGCATCAGGAGAGAGAGACCCCGCCCACGGGCAGTGCAATGTGGTGCTTGAAAAATTTCCAAAGAAAACAGTCACTGAGAAAAGATAGTTTCAGCAAAGAAGAGCAGAAGAAAACAAGAAAGAGAAAGAAAAGCCAGTCATGTAGAAAATTCAGGCATCTGCCTCCAGCAGAGCAAACTTTTTCTAAGATCCTTAACCAAGGAGAAACTTTTGGAAGTCAAACACTCGGGACCAAGACTCTGCATCGATTTAAGAACTAAGTAGACTGGCTGGACAGATCCAAAGGTTGTATGGTTTGAATAAAAAAAGCGGACAGGCCATTTTGGATCTGCCTCACTGGATTCACAACAGACAGTCAGTCCCCTGTATGAAGAGTGTCTGAGGATGAAGGATGGAGGATGGATTTTCTAGTTACCTGGTAGACATAACAGAAGAAGACTACTTTAGTTGACCCCCCTGGAAACCCTTGTGTACCTGACTCCGGACTCAGAACATACTCTTGAAGATGTTGATCTAAACAAAGTTTATATCCTCCGTGGACTTTGTGGATGAAAGCATTCAGAAAAAGGTGACATTTCAAAAGGCCCGAGAACACTCTGTCAAGACAGCACTTGCCAATCCAGGAATATATATGATCAGATACCAGAATGGGAAAAACTATCTTTCAGAGATATTGGCCATCAATCAAGTATTTGATATCCTATTCACTTACTTTGAGACTCAAAACTGGTCTGAATCATTGAAGAAAGGAGTTTCTTCCAGAAAAGGCTACGTTCTTCATAACTGAGTGGAATGATGGACAGTCTGAGATTGTACCTGCAGGAGGCAAAGTTGCTGGACGGGCCTTGACCAAGGAGTAGAGCAAATGGTGGTGATGACACCCACTTGCCTATGCGTGACATCTTGGGTCTTCATTAGAATATAGGTTACTAATAACAGGAATCACATTTTATGCTTTTCTGTGTCTCCCATAGTGCCTGGCACACAGGAAGTCCCCAGAATATCCTAAATAAAAAGTTTACATAACAAGGAATTTTCCCTTAAACTACATGGCTTTGGGTGTGTTAATTCGTTTTTGTACATCTATTTGTGAAATACCTACTCTTTAGAGATAGCTTAAATAATTAAATATTGTGCTATCAAGAAAAAAAGTTAAGTTAGAGATGTGAGCCAAGAAATTGTTACAGCACTAGCTTGATGATTCTGAGTCCTGTTTACTAATAATGAATACTTTAATAACACTTTATATCCTATGAGGAGCTTTTATATGTCCTATCATTTGATTACAGCATGCATCCTGTAATCAGGTGTAGCTGGGACACCAGCAGATCTCCAATGTGGCCTCTTCTTTAACCTGGGGGCACATCGGTGTTCAGAGACCGTGCTCACTGGGTCTCTAGCTCTGCAGAAGCCTGACGGTTGTGCACTGGAGCTCTCTGTTGAGGGGTCCTCACCCTGGGGGTGGCCCTCTTGGTAGGGTTTTTACAATGAGACAGGAGCCTTGGCCCAGAGGAACCACACACCTTTGCCCACTCTGCTCCTACAACATCCTCTTCTTTTGGTTTGCTCCAGCTGATTTATTAAGTTTCCCAAGACGCATGGTAGAACCATCTCTCAGCCAGCACTATGTTTCTCACTGTTTGGAGACCTGAGCTCCAGCCCGTGTGCTCTCTGAACTCCAGGAGTCATATAGCAACTTGTGACTTTGTTCTCTGGAAGCTCCATAGACTAGATGGAAGGGACTGGGTCGGGGCGGGGGTGGGGGAGGATTCAGAGGCAAGACCCACATGCTCTCCCCAAGGACTTCATTAGGTTCTTTTTTTTTAAAAA